TGGATCCATCGCGCGGTTCCGACTCTCTCCTCTTCCGCCCCAAGCCTCCTCGATCTTTTTTATTTTCTCTCGTTTTCCACGGTGTTCGTCGCTCCACGCTCTTTCTCCGTGTTTTTTCCCGTTCTCGCTCCTGTGTGTCCCGAGTGTCTCTGGAACGCGCGTATGCGAGATCGCTTAAAGGGGATGAACAGACGAGGTTGAGCGGCAACTCGACCTCCCCCTCCATGCAAATATTTTCACTCGACCTTCTACCCTGGTATCACTCTTGCCCCTTTCAATGGATACATTTTGGCCGACGAAACTACGACACCTGACGGCGATGCAAACCTTTTTGGGACACTTTTTCTTTGGCTACTTTCACCCCCTGGATGTTTAAATACATCGAATGTACTGTGTAATTATTAACGCTTCTCAGATTTATAATATATTGTCTTTGTAATGCATCTTTATAATGTGTAATTACTTCCATTCATGTTTTAATATTTTTATAAAATTACATGTGTGTTGGTTCTTTCTCTTTTGTTATTATGTGGGAACGTTTTGAATTAATTTGCTTAAAGTAGATGTTCAAATATTTTTGACTTTGCATCAAGTTTTATTTATTGAGGTCATACGTGATGTGTAATATATGATACACATGTGGTATGTGACATAGGATATACATATGTGTAATGAACCCCTTAAGTTACGTGAATGTAGTTTTATTTACTGAGGTGACACATGATGTACAATATATAATATATGATATATGATGCACATGTGATATGTGACATACGATATATATATGTGTAATGAACCCCTTAAGATATGTGAATGTAGCTTTATTTACTGAGGTGACACATGATGTACAATATATAATATATGATATATGATGCACATGTGATATGTGACATACGATATACATATGTGTAATGAACCCCTTAAGTTATGTGCATGTAGTTTTATTTACTGAAGTGACACATGATGTACAATATACATATAATATATGATATATGATACACATGTGATAAATGACATACGATATACATGTCATGAGGTCTTTAAGTTATGTGCATATCGTTTTATTTGTTGAAGTAGTACATGATGTGTAACATATGATATATGATACACATGTGGTATACGACATATGATATGAGCTTCATGAATACATTCTCATAGAAGACAAAAATAAATACAACTTATAAGCTAGAAGCGTAAAAAAATTTGATCGTGCCTATTCAAAGAGCAGGAGAAAGATTCGCAGAAAAAGTGAACAGGTCCCAATCAATTCGACTGCCAAATACAATTAAAAAGCGAAACAGCAAAAGTCATAACCTTTCAAACCCCCGTTCTCTGTTCGCAAAATGAAAAACTGACAATCGACATTGGATCGTATTCCCGGTACAACGGAATCGACAGAAAGAGCTGTTAACCCCGTTGTCGAAATCTTGTCAGTTCGATCGTCGCTGTTTGAAAAGCGTCGAGTAAACAGCGAGCGTCAAAAGACCCGTCGTAAAATCGAGGCTGGATCGACGAGTAATTTACCTGGAGGGCTCTATAGTGTTTCACGAAATGATTCTCGCGAACGTGAACGATTAACGACAAAGAAGAGGTGTCTGGAACTGGGTCGATACATACGAATTCGTTGAATCGAGCGAAAGAAGTTGATCGTGTTCGAATAGAAATTCAAGATCGTGGCACGTTCGATCGCCAAGCAAAACGTGAGTTCCTTTTTCCTGTGATGGCCTTCTTAAATTGGAAACGATTCGGCTGGCTGCGATGACCCTTTGTCTCCTTTGCGCCATTTGTCAAGCCCAGTTCCCGATGGCCTTGTATTACTCTGAAATCCAACCGGTCCGGCTATACCTGGAGGAAGGTTAACGGACCGAGGAGAACGGAAGCTTGATCGTAAATCAGTCGGATACGATTTTAAGGGTGGATCTTCGACTTTTACCCTCTGACGATAGTGTCTCTTCTCTGGTAAGATAAGTTGCTCTATTAATTTTCATGACTGTTCGCTGGAGAAACCGACTCTTTTTCAGTTACTACCTTAATTGTAATTAGGGGTTGAAATTTTCACTCGGAGAATTTATTTCGTTCTTTCGACGCGAGTAAATTGAAAGTTAAACCATAGTGATATCGTGACGCATTCGTGACGCACTCACGACGCACTGAGACGCATGTGTGACGCACTCAGTCGCATTTGTGTCGCACTCGTGACGCACTCAGTCGCATTCGTGACACACTCATGACGTATTCAGTCGCGTTCGTGACGCACTCATGACGCACTGAGACGCATACGTGACGCACTCATGACGGATTCGATCGCATGCGTGACGCACTCATGACG